CGTCGCAGCATTCGACAGCAATTGCGGAATGGAAATTTGAGAGTTCGCAGCGCGAAGCATGAGGGAGTCACACGAAGACCACCTTCCCTTCTGCAGGAAGAGCGTAACTCTAATATCCGCTGCAGGGTACAGGCGGTGTGCGCCCGACGCTCTCGAAGGAGGCCCTCGGAGCACTCTCCTTTGCCCGGTCTCATGCTCACTTCGCTGCCATGAGTTCAAAGCACTTGTCATGCCAAGGGAGCGTGGATTTCTGGATGGTCGCTTGAAAACTGGCAGTGCTCATCAGCAGCTCGGTGAGGTTTGAGATTGCCGTCCGACGGCCCAACGGAAACCAGGACCTAACGAAAGCCAGTCCAGTCCGCTCTCTGGAACAGCCTCTGCTCCCAGCTTGGTCGGCAGAGAATGAGAAACACGCATCGCGATCTCTGTGTGGACGAGATTTGTGCTCGCAGATGGGCGGGTCAACCGTGCAGGCGACGTCTGAGGTGATGTGCGACGCTGCCAGATCGAGGGAATTGCTGCCTCGAGCGGGTGTGCCAGCCTTTTCTCGAGCAGACTTGCGCGAGCGCACACCCTGAACAACTCCTTCCGTTGCTCGTCGGCGAGCCCGTGGGGGGAAGTGGGGAGGAGAAGGCTTTCTCAGAAGGCTCGGAAGTCCCTGGGCCTTCTGAGAAGTGTTCGAAACCTTCCCCCAAGGCGCAAAGAACTTCTCAGAAGGCTGGGGCTTCTGAGAAGTCCCGCCGCCTGCTGATAAGGCCTTCTCCTTCTCGCTTCCTCCCCTCACTCGCCGCCGAGTTATGGAGTGCTGCCGTCGGAGCAGTAAAGCCAAGGTTTGTGATGCACGCTCATGTCCCCCTCCGACGATGAGAGTGCCCACCGCGAGGTCACGATGCGAGTGCCACTCGAGCGCATCGGATCACATATAATCAACCTCGCCGCATTCCGGGGACGACTCCAGAGAGCAGGTAGAAAAGGCCCACGCTCCGCGAGGACAACATTTGGAGACTGCTGGGAGCTTTCAGAATCACCCATGTGGACGACTCAGGCATTTTAACCAAAACAAGCAATCCTTAGAAAATATGCTGTGCCTCCTCGTGGATGGCCGTCGCGCAGGTCTTGCCGCGGCACAGTGTCATACCCTGGCAACGACCGTGCAAAACAGACTGGTCCAACGACGTCTCGGTTATGGCGACGATGCGTGGAAGATTGGCAAGGGAAAGTCGGTCAAATGATTCGGCATGGTGTACATATTAAGACACGCTCAATGACAAGTCATGCGTTGAAGCCCATCTTAAGCGTCGAGCTGTCGCTTGGCGAGCATCGACGGCCCGATTTCGACAGCCGAGCTTTGTGCCGAGTGCGACGACTAGGCACAGAACGGGGATCACGGCGACGGAGACGCCGGCAAGTCAATGGTTGGGGCCGTTCATTTGCCACAAGGTGGCGGGCGGGCTTGTGAGCGTCATGATGCGGGGACTGGTAGGTAGCAGTAATCAGAGGAGCGGGCCCAAGCCACCCCTACAGGATGGAGAGCCCAGTGTAGGGAGGCGGGAAGATGCCCTTGAGGTCGCCTTGGCTCTGCTGGAAGGCCACCCCCTTGTCGACCCCGACGTGGTGCTCTCAACGAGTTTGCCGGAGGACGTTGCCGATTCTCTGATCAGGGACTGGGCCGTCCGAGTCGCGTAGTTCTTCTTCTGGTATTGGGTCTTGGCGGCCTTCACGGTGATCCTTTTGCCCTCCACGTTGAAAGGCGTCTGAGAACCGTCGACGCGCGCGTGACAAGAAATTGTTGGCCGCGTCAGGGCTGCGAAACTTGTTTCAAGAGCTTTTTCGATCCAGCAGAGTCGGTGCGGAAACCAGCAGGGCGAAAAGACGGGGCAGTATTCTTTACGTGGTTCCCCATCTGTTGGGCCCAGAACTCTTACGACACCCCATGCAGCCAGCCAAAAAACAATCAATTCGGTGGAAAGCGGAATCGTGACGATCGACAGTGTTGAGAAGGTATTGGGACGCAGGCGTGGAAGACGAAGATTGCGGAGCAGGAGGAGGATGCGCTTCGATGTGGGGCACGCGGCAGGCGAGGGCATCCAGGAGGCGCTTGATGGGGTCGAGGCCTACTTGAGCGTCTCTTGGGGATTTGCTGGGGCGTCTTGGAGAAATCAGGGAGCTTTAGGGGCTTGTTGGGCTGTTTTTGGATGCTGGTTTGGGGGCTGTCTATGAGCCGTTTGGAAGTTCGTGGGGCTGTCTTGTGTCTGTGACCGTCTCCGGGGCTTCTCGAGGACGACTACGGCGAGCCACCGCCGCTCCCTGTCTTCTGGAAACGTCCATGTGGGCAAACGTTGAGTTGAAGTCTTGCCAAGCCATTGGGCAACGTGTTCCCCGAGCCGTTCTAAAAATCCTTTGGGGAACAACACTTCGGGGAGAGAGGGAGAGAGAGAGAGAGAGAGAGAAGGAGAGAGAAGGAGAGGGAGGAGGAGGAGGAGGAGGTGGAGGAGGAGGAGGAGGAGGAGGAGAAGGAGGAGGAGGAGGAGGAGGAGGAGGAGGAGGATGAGGGGAGGAGGAGGAGGAGGAAGAGGAGGAGGAGGTGGAGGTTAAGGAGGAGGAGGAGGAGGACCAGTGTAAACCCAAGAGTCATCAACGATGTTGGAATTAACCCTCCCTCCAAGCTCCCTCTTCATAGACCTCTACAACGGTTTATTTCCATTGAGGGAACTGCCTCGTTGGAAGACAACCGTTGGAAGAGCTTGAAGCGTACCAAAACATTGTCCTCTGGATGTCAACGCCACGTATCAACCTGACTGTTACGTCTTGACGATCCCAAATCGTGCCAGAAGGCGATCCCAGGGACTTCGAACGCAGCGAATCAACATAATTGTTGCGCCCGCATAATCCTGAATTGTTCCAACACGCAATTTCTGGTACGTTGATCATGGGATGCCGTGAAGCTCTTGCACATGTTTACAACCAATGTGCGCCGCGCTCAGGCGAGAACCACATGTCGAAAAGGAACCGCACTCAATCCGTGGAAGTCTTGTAAAGTGTACAACGAATGTGCGCGGCGCTAAGGCGAGAGCCACATTTTTGAAACGACCCGCTTTCAATCCGTGGAACTCTTGCACATGTTTTAAGCGAGTGTGCGCGGCGCTAAGACGAGAGCCACATTTTGAAAACCACCCGCCCTCAATCCGTGAAGCTCTTGCAAATGCTTAAAACGAATGCTCGCGGCACGAAGGCAAGAGCCGCATTTGGAAAGCGACCCGCCCTCCATTTGTGAAAGAATTCGGCGAAACGCCTGGTCCGCCCTAAAAGCCGGCCTGGGGATGCGACAGGGAGGAGTTATATATAAGGAGAAGGAATGGAGGAGGAGGCGGAGGAGGATTTTGGTTCTTCACCACGACGCTTGCAGGGAAGCAGTTATGGGGCCCAAGGGGGAGGACAATAACTTTTTGGGGAGCTTGCCTCGTGTGAAGTACTTCCAGGCTGCACGGCCTTCCCCCAGCAGCTCCTTGCGCTCCTTCTGCTTGGAGGAGGAAAAGGGGGGGCGACGAAGAGGGATGAGGAGGGAGGAGGATGACGAGGAAGGGTGAGGAAGAGCAAGGGGGAGGAAGAGGAAAGGGGGAGGAAGATGGGGGTGAAAAGACCTCTCGAGGGCCTCCTGAGGGCCTCCTGGGGGCCGCTTGGGGGCATCAGGGGGCCTCTCTGGGAGCCTCTTGGTGCCTCCTGGGTGGGTCTGCGGAGGTGGCCTCCTTTGGTCCCTTGTGGGGCGCTTTCGGGCCGTACTGGAGATCCTTGGGGCCGTCTTGGGGCTCTGTTTGGGGAGTCTCGGGGTCCTGGGCGAGAACTCGAAATTGACGTGTTTTTTGGTTTGCGAATGGTTTGCTAGAAGTCCGCTTGGAGTAAGTGTGAGCGTATCATGGGTCTCTAGGTCCGCCTTGAGGCCATATTGGGCTGTCTTAGGTTTATATCGGGCCTTCTTGGAGGCTCTTGGGGGTCATCTTGAGTTATCCTAGGGGCATATTGGATGCCATCTTGTGCCATCTTGGACCATATCGGCAAACTCAGATGCGGTTCGTTTGGAGTTTCTAGTTGTTTCGTGGGCCAGTGGGTTGAGCCGACATCACATTGGCAAACTTTTAGAAGCGTTCAACAATTTTCTGGCACGCCAGCAACCCGCCTGGCAAGCAACAAGGGTCAGCAGTGACTTTCGGCCCACCACGCCACCGTTCCTGGGTTGATTGGATGTCTTGTGGGGTCTTTTGGGATGGATCTGTGGGGCCTCTAGGACGCCTCTTCGGGCCTCTAGGAGCCTCTTGGGATCCTCTTTGAGACCTTTTGGGGGCGCGATGGTCATGCCTGCTACATCATGGTGATCACGTGTCTTTGCAAAGAGACATGTCTACTTCCGAAACGGCAATTTTACGCGGGAGGTTCCACCAATTGAATCGCCAAAGGCCCGCGCTATATCCCGTAGCGGCTCCCCATCGGGATGCCAAATTACGATGCTTGCTACATCGCGGTGACCCTGGTTCTCTGCTAAGAGACGCGTCTACCTCCACAGACGGCCAGTCGACCCGCAAGGTCCCATCAATCTGGTCGCGAACGAGCCCGTGTGATACCCCTTGGCAGTTCCAACTTGGGAGGCCCAAGTGTGATGCCGTCTACATCGCAGTGATGGTGAGCGAGTGGATCTGAGTTGTGAGCGGTGAGCATGGAGGCGAGCGAAGGAGTCTAAACGTGATACTATCCGAGCGTACGCCAGACGGAGTGAATGAGTAAGAGTGTAAGCAGATTTCAATGTGATTAAATCTTAGGCCGCACTAGTGAGTCTTGGGTAAGTGAGTCTGAGTGTGAGTGAGCCTGGAATGATTGGGTCAGCAAACTAGTGGCTCTGTGAACTGCAGGATGTGTGAGTCTCTGAATATGAGTTGGTTTGATTATGAGTGCGGGTACGCAGCGAGGTGGGTGTGCGTGACATGAATAGCGAAACACATTCTTAGGAGATGGGAGACACACATATAGTCGCGTCGACTGCCGGCCTCGGCCTGGTCATCAGGGACTCTGAAGACGCGACCCAAGAGCATTTGCTGCAGCAACCGGTGTGGCCCCAGCAGATGCAGCAGCAGCAGCAGCTGTTGCAGCAGCAGCAGTTGCAGCAGCAGCAGGTGCAGCAGCAGCAGCTCCAGAAGCAGCAGCAGCACCAGCAGATGCAGCAGCAGCAGCAGCAGATGCAGCAGCAGCAGCAGCAGCAGCAGCAGCACCAGCAGCAGCAGCAGCAGATGCAGCAGCCGCAGATGCAGCAACAGATGCAGCAACAGATGCCGCAGATGCAGCATCCGAAGATGCAGAATCCGCAGATGCAGCAACAGATGCAGAATCCGCAGATGCAGCAACAGATGCAGCATCCGCAGATGCAGCAACAGCAGGTGCCGCAGCAGGTGCAGCACCCGCAGGTGCTGCAGCAGATGCACCAGCAGCCGCAGCCGCAACAGCAGGCCCAGCACGTTCAGGTCTTCCTGGTCCCGGTTACGACCGTCGCCGCGCCGCCAGGGCAGCCGGTGCCGCAGCCCCAGCCGCAGCACCAACAGGTGGGGCACGTGCTCGTGTCGCCCGTGCAGCCGCAACAGCAACAACAGCAGCATCTTGAGGCTCTGCGGATGCAGCAGCTGCAGCAGCAACAGCTGCAGCAGCAGCAGCTGCAGCAGCAGCAGCTGCAGCAGCAGCAGGCGCAGCAGCAGCAGCAGCAGATGCAGCAGCAGCTGCAGCAGCAGCAGCTGCAGCAGCAGCAGGCGCAGCAGCAGCAGCAGCAGCAGCAGGCGCAGCAGCCGCAGCAGCAGCAGCAGCAGCAGGTGCAGCCCCAGCAGCAGGTGCAGGAGCAGCACAACCGCAGGGAGGCTCCGGCGGCGCTGGAGAGTCAGCTCTCGCAGGGTGGCTGCGTGCCCGCCCCGCAGCGCCAGCTGTCGCAGGAGCTGCAGGAGGGAACGCGGCAGCTGGATCAGAATCACGGCTCTCCGGGCAAGCTGAACTGCTGGCGACGGCGGCGACCACGACGTCGATGTCGACGTCTCCGTTCCGGGGGCTTTGGGTCGTTCCCGTTTGTTCTCGTCGCCACGGTGGGACGCAGCTCGAACATTTTGCCGGGATTGATTTTGAGCGGATTTCAGTCCTCCTTCTCTCCTCCTTCTCCTTCTCGCCGTCGTCGTCCTCCTCATCTCCTCTGCCTCTTCCTCTTGCTAACTGCTCGTCGTTTTCGTCCTCGTCCTCAGCCCGCTTGATGTCACATGGAGGCGGAGCAATCCGCCAGTGACACGACGACTTTCACTGGGGTGGGTGGGCGCCCCGGCTGAAGAGCAGCCGGAAAGTTTGAATGATTGTTTCTTCTCTCTTCTCCCCTCCTCCACCTCCTTCCTCATCCCCCTTCCTACTTCCCCTCCCCCCGCCTGTCTCCTTGTGCTTCTCCAACGTCCTCCCGCGTCCCAGCCGGCCCAGGCCGGGCAGACCCCCTCCATCGGGAATTCTCATCTCACCTTTTCCGTCGTCGTCCTTATTCTTCTGTCTCTCTCCTTACTCCTCCGTTCCTCCCACTTATCCTTGCCTCTCTCCCTCCCTCTCTCCCTTCCCACTCCCTCCTTCGTCCTACTTTGCTCCCTTTTGACTCCGTCCCACCGCCTGCTCCCCCTCTCTCCCCTCCCCTTTCCTCTACCTCTACGCCCTACCTCCCCCCTCCCCTCCTCCCCAGCCTCTCGACGTCGTTCTCATCCTTGTCGTCGTCGTTTTCTTCCCTCCCCTGGCTCCCTCCTCGCCTTTCTTCCCTGCCTTCTCCTCTGCTCATCCCTTCCGCACTCACCCCATCTCCCCCTCTCTCCCATCCCTCCTGTTCGTCCTACTGTTGCTGCTCATCCGCAGCGTTCCTGGCTCAAGCTCAGCAGAGCTCCAGGTCCACGCGACCGTCGAGTTTCTGTTTCTCATCGGGATGTCGCTTTTTTGCTGCGGTGAGCGGCCTGCTCGTTCTGCCTCCGTGGTCACGCGAAGCACCGGTCGCTCCTGGGCTTCTGGCCGCACCGGTGCAAGGGCCGCTCGGTGGTGCCATGCTTCGGAGGCCCGGAGGTTGGCACCAACACCAAGATCGGCAGTGTGCCTCCTTCGAGGGAAGCGGAAACAGAAACGGAACGCCTGTGCGGGCATGCGCCCAGGCCACTTAAGGGGGTCTACTCAGGACAATGCGTACTTCAGGAGCTGATTTCCCGACAGGCGCTGATTTCCCTCCTTCGAGGGAAGTTTGATCCCAATCTCGGTGCTGGTGGTAATATTTGGGCTTCCCAGGCGGTCGGAAGATTGCCACCAACACCAACACCAACATCTAGGATCATCCTCCCCCAGTGAACGCAACTCCTTGTTTTTTTATGTCGGTGTCCATTTCCGACCCCTCCAAGTGCTGTCGCTGCTGCGCCTTCTCTTTCCTGCCGAGCGCGTGCTCCCCCATGTGCTCTCCACCGCAGCTGGGATCGGCGCGCCCCGAGTCTCCTTCGAGCTTTCGAGCCGATAGCCGGTGCCAAGGCCCCCTGAGACTTCGCCCTGCAGAGTTCGGCAGTCGCGAAGAAGGAACAGCTGCACAGTGCTCATCTCTAACTCTTCGAAAGTTATTTGATTTTTGGGGGGGCCACGATCCTTTTATTTGTAGTCGTTCTATCCTGGGCCTCTTCCTGGCCACCAGGGGGCCAGGAACAATTAGAAACGAGAACACTTAGACATGACCACGGTTAGAAATGAACCACGTGTACATAAGCATAAACTTTGAGCCCCCCCTGCCCAGCTCGCGGAGCGCGCCAAGGGAGGCGCCGGAGACGCCGCTAGGGGGTCCAGCGCCGAGTCACGAAATCCGCGCGGAGCTCCGAAAGTTTCTGTTCGTGCCGCTTCTTCTTGCTCCAAGTGGCGAGGTGCGGATAAGTCGAGCACTTTCAAAAGGCTGATTGCCACCAACATCGCGGGCGAGGGGGGGGAGGCGGCCGCGGAGGAGGGAACTGCGGGGAGACGCCCTCAGAGCAGGACGAGCTTGTCCGAGACTCGGTGCAGCGGCCCAGACTCCGAGTCGTGCTGAGGGGCAGTCGAGGCTGCTCCGTGCGAACCTGCGAACCTGCTCGAAGGGTCCATGCCTGCAGTGGCCGGTGCGCGAAGAGAATCCACGAACTGACGGCGACCAAGACGATGGTGACCAACATCGACACCGAGGTATTGCGTTTTGTCTTGGTCATGGTCACTAGTTTCCATCCCTCCACCCCCCACGCGAGCACAGAAGACGATGAATCGCACAGATGCACGCTGGTCGACGAAAACTCCTACGTTAGACTCCTGCTGGCGCCGGATTACCCAGCTGATGGCCGTGCCTCCTCTCAGCTCTTTGTTCCTCCTCCTCCTTTCTCTTCCCCATCTGAGGACTCGAAAGGTACCTCATCGCTTTTCCCCTGCCCTTGTCGAACAACCACGGACATTTTTCTTAAGACCGTCTTTTCCTACGGACGATCATTCTTAGTTGAGGTTTCATCCGATCTGTTTCACGTTGCACGTACCTTTGATGTGTCCAGGCGCCCACGTTCGATCAATTTCTCGTCAAGGGCCCGGCCTGGAGAGGTCGGTCAGCATGCCGCGTCGTCGCGCTTCTGATCGCGCCTGTTTCGCAAGTGTTTTCCAGCGAGCCCGACCACCCTCCATGGGCCCAGGTGCGGGTGACCCCCGCATCGCTGCATTCGCCGCATCCGCCGCATCCGCCACCAACGCGGGCAACGTTGGGCCGACGGCTTTCTTCGCAGCTCGCTGTGCCGAAGGGCGCCGTGAGTCAGAGCCTGGACCTGAAGGTAAGGGCCGTCCTGGCGGAGATCGCAGGCGCCTCCGGAAAGGGTGGTTTGCCGCGCGGCGGAGCAGCGGTGCGCAGCTGGTCCTCTGCGAGCGCCGTGAAACATTGACGCGTGGTCGGTCTTCGTCGCACGGATCTCCTGTCGCATGCGGCACGTTGTTGATGATGATGATGATGATGTTGATGATGATGATGATGGTGATGATGATGGTGATGATGATGATGTTGATGTTGTTGTTCTTGTTGATGGCGACGATGGCAATGTTGAAGATAATGATGGTGCCAATTTTAATGGTAAGATTGGCGATGATGATGATGATGCTGATGTGATTGGAAATGTAGATGTTGTGATGATGCTGATGCTGAGGATGCTGATGATGATGACGGTTGTGATGATGATGATGAGGATGAGGATGAGGATGATGATGATGATGATGATGATGATGATGATGATGATTATGATGATGATGATGATGATGATGGTGATGATGATGATGATGATGCTGATGATGATGTTGATGCTGATGCTGATGCTGATGTTTCCCCCCTCCTCCCTCTCCTCCCCCGCCTCCTCCACCCCTCCTGCCTCCTGCATCATCTCCCTCCCTCCTCCCACCTCCTCGCCCTGCTCCCCTTCGCTTCCCCCTCCTGGCCCGCCCTGCCCCGATCCTCCTCGCCCTCCGGCCTCCCCTCCTCCTCGTCGTCCTCCCTCCTCGCCCCCCCGGGGGGGGGTGCCTCCGCCGAGGGGTGCGGGCCCGCCGACCCCGACCGCGTTGGCCCATGGGGCCTTCGGGGTGGCGGCGCTCGCGGTGGAGTGGTCACGTTCCCGCGTCACCGAAGGGGGGAAATGACGGTATGAACAGATGCCCGCCAGCGTGGTCTCCAGGCAGTGTGGTTCTAGCAGCCTGTGCTGTGCACTGCATGCAGAGCTCCATCATTGGGCATCTTGTGTGGCACAGTCTGTGTGGCGCAATACATGTGGTACAATACATGGTGCGGAACACTATAGTGCACTCCATGTGGTGCTATAAATGCTGTGTAATCGATGTGGAGCAATGTAGGTGGTGCAATCTGCGTGGTGCAATCTATGTGGTGTAACGATTGAGTGCAACCTATGTGGCACAGGCTATGTTTTCCGTATCTATGAAAAATATCATATATGAGGCAATATATGGTGTGAGATAGAGGTGAAACACACTATGCGGTGCACTATAGGTGTTTTTTTTTATCTGCACCAGATTGTGCGGTCTTTGTTGTACAACCTATGTGATGCCACATCTACACATACACATCGGTGTGGTGCAATGTATACTGTGCAATGTATATATATATACAGATATCTATATATATATACATTGACCAGGCAACCGGGGTTCCCAGTTCGAGCTGGCGCCGAAGACGCTATTTGAAGACGCTATTCCTTGTGACGGCGCGTCCCTGTGAAGACGCTATTCCTTGTGAAGACGCTATTCCCGGTGAAGACGGTGAAGACGCGATTCCCAGTGACGACGCTATTCCCGGTGAAGACGCTATAGGGTGAAGACGCTATTCCCGGTGAAGACGCTATTCCCGGTGAAGCCGCTATTCCCTGTGAAGACGCGTTCTGCGGATTCAGACAGCACTTCCCCTATAAAGACACTATTCCTTGTGAAAACGCTATTCCGGGTGAAGACGCCATTCTCGAGATCTGTGAAGACGCTACTCCGGGTGAAGATTCCCTGTGAGGGGGTGAAGACGCTATTCCCTGTGAAGACGCTATTCCCCGTGAAGACGCTTTTCCCCGTGAAGACGCTATTCCGGGTGAAGACGCTATTCCGGGTGAAGACGGCATTCCGGGTGAAGACGCTATTCTTGGTGAAGACGCTATTCCGGGTGAAGACTTTATGGTGAAGGCGGTATTTTTTGTGAAGACGCTAGTCTGGGTGAAGACGCTATTCCCGGTGAAGACGCTATTCCCTGTGAAGTTCAACGTGCTCCCCTCGCAATTGTAATTTGAAGGTGCCATTTTGCTTTGCGCTTTCCGTGCCCAACACAGCGCGTGCCCCATTTGCTGTGCGACACCTTCTGCTAGGCAAGACCTCCCCCCAATATGATTAAAACAATTCCTTGGTGCTAGACATGCCCCATCTGCTGTGCAACACCCTCTTCTGGGCAA